AAAAATGCATTTGATTAAAAAAATAATAATAATATTAGAAATTATGAAAAAAATATTATGAAATGTTTTATAAAGACTCTTCACCTTGAATTGTACATACAATAGAACATCACACATTAATCAAAAATGAAAAATCTTCATAAAGTATTTTATGATCATTAACATTACTCTTAAAAAAAATTGGTATCATGAAAGTATAGATATTTATATTTTTTATAAAATAATTTTACAGGATTTGATTGGTTTTTATTTATTATTTTGAAAGTAATAAATCTTCAATCGGATAGTTTTTGATGTCCAATTGATCTGATTTTTAATATATATACTCTTTAAAAGATCTTATAAAATAAATAATTTTAATTATTAAGACCAATCCAAAATCAACTCTCAATAAGCCAAATTAAACTGTCCAATTAAATGAGAACTATCTAGTCCCAGTTCAGTACGGGCCAATTTGGGGAGTGACAAATAATGCAATTGAAATTTGAAACAGTATATGCTTGATACTGGGTTTGAGGCAATAGCGAGCACAAGCAGGCGATTGTGGTCTTGAAAGCTAAAAGTGGTTACAAAACTCACGAAGTTCAAGAGACTTCTATCTGTTATCTTTACTGCTATTACCTAATAGAGTGATACAACTATGCTGCAGACCCTGCAGACCCCAAGTGAGGTGGTGAGTTTTTACTGGCTAAAATTTAAAAAAAAAAGTAATAATAGAATAAAAAATATGATATTAGATATATTAATTAATGTATTAATATTATTAATTCTATTTATTATATAAATTATAAATATTAAAAAAAATTAAATTATATCACATTATTAATTAATATATTAATTAATATTAATTGATGTATATAATATTCTGTCTAATAACTTGGATGGTGGTCACAAACTCACGAAGTTCAAGAGATTGTCTAATTACTTGGATGGGGACCACCGTTAAAAAGCCCTTCAAAATTGAATGGCACACAATTTTATTCTCGGCCAATTAGCGTTTATGTCAAAATTGAATGGCATACAATTTTATTTATGTCCAAAACCTCCTCTAACCCTGTTTCTTCCTTGAAATTGGGTTACTGTTGTGCCTTATTTTAAAATGTATTATGTATTTATTTTTATGATCTAAATTGTTTATTTTATAAGATTTATTGAGTACTATATGATTGTCAAAAATCATATTAATCGGATATTAATAACTATATGATCGAATTGCATATTTTTATACTATTTTTCAAAAGAAAAACTTCTTATTTATTTTTTTGTTTATCAATCATATAGTTATTGATATCCGATTAATATGATTTTTGGTAGACATGAAGTACTGAACAAACCCTACAACATGACGGTTCAGATTATAAAAATAAATCCATAATACACTATAAAATGAAGCACAAGGCACAGCAGTGATCCCAAGTTAGGAGAGCCTTACATATGCATTTATTTTTAGTTAAGAGTCCTCAACTATATGCAAAGTATGCATTTATGTCTAATCCGCACAATTTTTTTTTTTTAGGAATAATTCGCACACTATTAAAACCGTATAAATATATATAATTTTAAAGTTATTTTCAGAGATTAAAGTGATATAATTTTATAATTAAAAAGTCAAACTATATAAATTTAGAAATGATGGATGGAAAGTGATATTCGTTAATAATTAAAATATTTTTATATAAATAATCTTTTTTTTTTATTTAAATAATTGACAATTCTAAGATACAGATTTTCTGTAAAAAAAAACTTGGAGGATTTGGAAGCATGTGGAGTTTTAAGTGGGGAAGTTTATTAAGGGCATCAAAAGGTTGACCGATTGATAGCTTTCCTGACCTAAAATCTAAAGGAACAAAGCAAGTAATTGTTTTTTTTGTTTTTTTTTTTTTAAAGATAAACAAGTAATTGTTTGATGAAGCACAAATAGTTAGACTTTGTAAGGTTTTGCTTTAATTTAACTTTTTAGGTAACTTCTTCTTCTTTTCATTTATCAGTAATGATAGTAACTCTAATAAAACATAACTCACATAACTCTCAAAATTATTTGAACCATTCATGTCAATAATCTCTCAAAAAAATTCAAACACATCAATAGTCAATACATCAATGAGGGTCATGGGATCTTCCTTTGTGGGGGTCCCAAACATTTTCCTTTATTTATTTATTATTTTGTTAGGGTTAAATTCATTATTTTGTGAGGCATTCAATTCAAAATTCTATAAGCTAATCAAATTTGCTAATATTTTAATTACAAGTAAAACAATACTTATGTAAACAACATCTAGTTGGTGGCAATATTCTATATTTTGTTAGGGTTAAATTCATTGTTTTGTGAGGTATTCAATTCAAAATTCTATAAAATAATCAAAATTTGCTAATATTTTAATAACAAGTAAAACAATTCTTATGTAAACGACATCTAGTTCATGGCAATATCATTTTAATTATTGAGGTATTGAGTTTAAACTTATTACGAGTTAATGATATTGTATTTACTATTGTGATCGATTGTTGTTGAACTTTTTTTGTGACTAAATATTCAATTTAATGTACTTTTATAATATTTGTACCCATCTTGTAACAATTCAAACACAGGCACACAAAAAAATCCTTAATTATATAGGTGCTAATCTTTTTCCTTTCCAACTGGGACATTTTATATGAATGGACCAATATCAGGGATATTATTAACATAATTGAAAATGCTAGGAATCAGTAAATTTTATCTTGAAATCTATTCAGAAAGTGATTGTGCGGTGTATATTTAAAATTAGTGGGAGATAGGCTGCACTTATAATAAATGTAATCTATTAAATCACTTTTTTTAAATAATTTTGTTGAGTATGTAATATTGTTAAATATAATATGAAAAGCAAGATAAAATGTTTTCTGGTTGTTGGAGTGTTTAAGGCTTTAAGCTATTGGAATCACACATTTGGATTTTGCTATCTCATTCAACTACTTCAAAGTTGCTTTAAGTTAAATGCACTTTGATTTTCTTTACTTTTATCTTTCCAGTGCCTTTGGTTATTATTGTGCTTATGTGCATGTATATACCTCATTATTCGTCCTTTTTAGAGTTCGCAAAAGTTCTTTTTAATCTAATGTCAAAATCCTAACACTTGAGATTTAGGGTGAGTGACGATTAGACTATTAAAAGATTAATTTGAATAAATTACATATTTAAAGATGGCCACCAAAACAATTGTCAATTAAAAAACTTAAATTAACAAATTAACCTCGAAAGGGGTAAAAAAAATATAACTAAACTATTAAATTGTCTTTGAAAAATATTTGAAAGCTCGATTGACCCACTAAAAATTATTCAAAAGAGGTAGTTGCTCCCAGAAGATGTTTTGTCTTGGTTGGCAAATTTTATTATTTTATTTTTGTGTTTTTTTTGCTAAATAAGTTAAGAGCCCACTAAATTTTTAACATAAAAAAATGAATTAAAAAATTACTCCAATAAGAAGAGATTCACAAATTTGAACTTCTTTCCATAATAAAATTCAAAAGCCAAGATCTTAATAAACTTTAGTATTCTATAAAGCTTGCCCTTCCTTCCCACTACCAAAAAAATAAAATCTATGCAACACAATGCTTTTCCACTTTAGTACTATATTAAAAATAAAATTACAATTAAGTAGTCTTTTGAAAATATATATATATATATATATATTTATAAATACATGAAAAAATTTAGGATTTTAATTATTAATATTTATAAAGTTTACCAATGATGTGTGTGTGTTTTTTTTATAAATTTACACAAAATTCTAATTTTTCCTTAAAAAAATAATTTTTTGCATTATTATATGTTAAATTATAACTTTAAAATTTTTAATAAAGTCCTTTGCAAGATCATCATCATACATTTTTTTTAAGATTTATATAATTATAAAAAAAAATTAATATATATATTTTTACATATTTTAATATTTGCTACTTATGTTGCAACATTAATAATAACAGTGATTAGAATATAAAAAATGCTAATTGGTAAGGTTTCTCTTTTTACGAGAAGCAAGCTTTTAGTTTCGAGTCTCGTTTCCCTCTCATAATTTAAAATATATACTTGTGTTGTAAATATTACTATCTATATCTCAAAATATTAGTTTTTTATTTTATTTTTTAATATCTCAAAATTAGTCCCTTTTCAAAAATTAAAATTTAGAATAATATGAATTTCCTATTTTTTAATTCTTTTAAATTCATTAATAACACAAAAAAATATAATTATGACAATTGATATTTTTTTTAAAAAAATATACTATCAAAAGATAATTTTGAAAAATTAATATTTTTAAAATATAATAATTATAATATTAAAAAAAATTAAATTATCCAAAACAGACTATTATTTTGGAAGAAAATGAGCATAACCTTCTTTTAAAAAAATATAAATATATAAAAAAAAAACGGGTGATTAGAATTTCAAAAACAAATTTAGCCATGAAATTGTTTTAATGGAAGTGCTGTAGAGCTCTAATTAGAGCTGTTACAGTGCAGCTCTAATGAGCTGTTCACCTATAAAAAAATAAAAAATAAAAAACAGTGAAGTAAATGACAAAAAATGGAGAAGAAGTAGACAAATTAGGATTGGTTTGGGAAGAGGGTTGGCTTTTTGGCTTTTTAGCTTTTTTTTTGCTATTTTAACCTGGGCTAAAAAACTTGGTTTGGGAAGGGCTTTTTGGCTTTTTGACTTTTTTTGTGAGAAAAGAGTGTAATGATTATGGATTAGATGTGATGTTTTGTTTGTTGTGACTAAAATAATCTATTTTATCTTTTGTGACTAAAATAACCAAAAAAACCCACAAAACTACTTCCCAAATGGTCCTTTAGTGCTCCAATAGAACCCTTTTTTTAGAAGTCTAAATCATTTTTGTTGTTTTAATCCGTTAAAAATTGGGTACTTATAGTCCAGAGCTGCGGCCTTCGGTATTTATGGTAGGACGTCATTCACAGACGTGGATCACAATCACGGCTTCGATAAGATAAGTCTCATTAACCGATGAACGGCCTCAATCAAGGATAGTGACCGATCAATGTCAGACATAAAAACCACCGCATCAAATAATCCTAGTTCTTTTTGTACATTATCACTGCCAAATCCATATTTAAGAGCTTTAAATAAAAAGAAATCAGAACCGTTGGCAGGTGGAAGCGGGAAGTTACTCGTCTCCCCTCTTTCCCGCGCTCCATTAGGGCTTCGTATATACACTTTCTCTGTATATCTGTATCTATATCTATGTCCATGAATTTGTGCATACATCTCTCTCCAACAAGGAGACCTTCGGAGCTCGTCAATCTAACGTGGCAATGTCAAGAAGGTAAATTCTGTACTTTACCTTTCTATCAAATGTTATTGTTCATATATCTCCAATTATATTAGTTAGAAAAGTGAGCTCGAATCATGTTGTCAAATTTGTATCAATTCAAGGAGAGGCAAAATTTTCACCAAATGAAGAACGAGCCAATTCCTTCACCAAATTTTTCAACTGTCGTATTTTGACTTAAATTTAAAAATAAAATTAAAAAAAAAAAGAAGAAGATAGGGGTTAAAACAAATTTTTAGGATAAGTTCAGAAATTTTCAAAAATATTTGACGAAAAAAGGAGTAAGGATTGGACTAAAAAAAATTAAGATTTTAGAGAACAAAAATTGGGACAAAATATTATAGTTGCTAAGCAGGTTGTTTTTGTATTTTTAGCAATGAAATTGGCAATTTAGTGATGAATTAGGATTGTTTTGGGACCAAAATTCTCATCTATAAAGTAGACATTTTTAGCACGGAATTGTTATAGGGGTTAAAACAAATTTTTAGGATAAGTTTAGAAATTTTCAAAAATATTTGACGAAAAAAGGAGTAAGGATTGGACTAAAAAAATTTAAGATTTTAGAGAACAAAAATTGGGACAAAATATTATAGTTGCTAAGCAGGTTGTTTTTGTATTTTTAGCAATGAAATTGGCAATTTAGTGATGAATTAGGATTGTTTTGGGACCAAAATTCTCATCTATAAAGTAGACATTTTTAGCACGGAATTGTTTTGTCCATAAAAGTGCATTTATTAGCAATACTTACAACATTTTTTCGCTAAATGTCAATTTTTTTACATTTCGGGACAGCATTTTGGTGATGACTCTCGTGACAACAGAAATCGATCTTCTATTGTTTTTTGCAACAAAATTTTACTTTTGGGAACACAAAAGTTTGGTCCCTAAGATTCTTACATGTTGTAGATCAAGCTTTTAACCAACTTTTTTCTCAAATTTGATGAAAAAGAGAGAGCAAGGATTCGAGATGCTCTGTATTTTAGCAATTTTATGTCTAGAAATGGTTAAATGGAAGTTGAAAGTTTGTTTTTATGTAAATGAATGATGTAAATTTTGTATGGAAGTTTCAATTTGGAGGTCAGAACTCAGAAGCATATTGTTGTCATTGGAACTAGCAATAACTGCTGCGGATATAGACTTTTGAGTTTTGTATATCTTTATTTTTCACACATCAATCTGAAATATATCAAATTGTGCTTCTTGTTGAGCGGAAAAGAAACTGTTTTAAGAGAAAAAAGAGAAATTTTTTTGACAGAAGATATTTTGGTAATATCAAAGATGAGGTGAAAGACGTAAATTAACCTCAGTGAGAGAAGAGAGAAGGATTTCTGAGGATATTTTGCTAAGTGATAAAGTTGGCGTTGGCTAACAGTGATTTTTGATTGTCCGAGGGCAACTGAAGTCAATCTTTGAGCCTGAGCAGAAGAGAGACTGCAACTTAAAGTACGACCAATGTTATTCTTATACATGAAGTTTATTTATTATAAAATGCTACTTTGGTCATGATTGGTTTGGATATTAATTTATGATGGAAAGAACAAATCAAGTTTGAAGAAAATGATAGGAGTTCTACACTGCAGATTCAATTCTCATATATTGGCTAATAGGTGTCAATCTAAGAGGGATTGCATCTCTAGGAAACAATTCTCTACCAAAAGGGTGTGAACTAATGGAGTCTACTGACACACCAAGTTAAATTACAAATTTATTTTCAGATAAATAAGCAAAACAGGTCCAAATTATCAAGGTTTAGCTGAGTTGAGTTGATACTTATTTTGGTTTAGCTGTGATTGTTTTTTCATCAATGGTTTTAGATAACCATCATTAATTTCTTTATTTCCAAATTCTCACATTCATCTGGACCTTTTCAACGCTCAAGGATTAAAGTCTAGAGGAGATCAGATATATTAACACTTAACCAATTCAATCGGCCTGATATGGCTGTCAATTTAGCCAAAAACTATATCAGCGATGAGTGCTCAGATTTTTTTTGCCCAATTTTAACTCTCTCTCTCTCAGTAGATTCAATTTCTATTTCTTTAATTTTATGAAACATTTCAAATTTTAATTAAAAATTGGTTTCAGGTAAAATCCTCGAGGTGTAGAGACTCAAAGGATAAATTCTTGTCTTCCTGATTTTGTAGTTTCTGAGCAACTATGAATCTATGATACTGCAGCTTATATGATTTATGCAACGATTTTTATGGATCTGTTCTCTACTCATCTGCTTCTGTTCTGCTCACATTTGTTTTCTTAATCAAATAAATATTCAAGTATGACCAAAGATGAACTTATAATTGAAGTTCCTGTTTTTCATATAAAGTTTTCTATCTGTATTTATCCTCAATTAAAATGAAAATTTTGTAATATGCATCCAAATTCAACCTTCACTGTATTTGAAAACTACTAAAATCTTAGCTATTTACTCTGATGTTTTATGTTATTTGATAGATTATCCTCTCTGGACATTACATAATGTTTGGATAACTGGTTAGCACGTCCATCTTTATCACTTCCATTTAGAAATTTAGTTAATAACAGTCTTTTCTGGGCTCTAGTGGCCCTAATTTCAGTGAATGACAAACGATGATGGGATTTTTCTTTTCGGCAAGGTTATAAAAGATAAACGTATAGATTTGAGTACCTAGAAGACAATTGAGATCACATGAATACATACAGATTAAGTGATGAGGAAACAATTCATTTTTTATTTAACAAAAGGAATTTCCAGTTGTTAACATGTTCAAAAACCATTACTTCATATGGTCTGGAATCTGGCTAGGCTGCTCTTTAATGATCATTTATATTTTCCTTCTTTCAGGAGAGCTACTCAGCCAAATTATCTCTTTATCCTGTAAACCCTGAACGGCCATTTCTGCCTTCAAATACACTAAGTAATCATGCTTTGTATTTCATGAATAATTTTCCTTTTTGGTAAGTACTTTTTCTCGAATAAGTTGAATTGCTTTTCTCGTTTCATTATATAAATTAGAGTTTTACAAGTTGTATTTCAAGATCATGAGAAATATTATTCATTTTCATGAATTCCCTACTGAGAAATAGGAAAGAATGTAAAAAAAGGTTCTATGCTTATCAAAGGACATCGGTACCATAAATGGGGAGAAGAAACTTATAAACATCCTGGGGGTGGGGAGGGGTTATTGCATGACAGCTGGGACAGTGGGAAGGGAAGTGTTTCTGTTAACTTTGAGCAACTTTCACTATTATTATGAAATTTTAGGAAACCTCGTGTTAGTTGTTAGTGATCCCGAAGCCCTTTGTGAAATATGGGAATTCTCTTTCATATTTTTAGATACTAAACTCATAAAAATCTGAACTGCCTGGCGGTGGAAACAAGATTCCTCAAGTACACGGGGTTTGTATTTTAGCTATTTTACTGCATCCAGAGTACATTTCGGTGTTAGTGGCTTTTGGCTGTATTCCATGTGAACTCAAAATTCTCTTGTTGGGTGCTATATGGGTTCTTGATTTACATACTTTTTTAATATTTTTAAAATGATGATGTTCACAAGGAAGTTTGTGAGGTAGTTATGCATTTCCTGATTGTCACAAGAATTTTGCAAGGTTCTATGTTTTGTTTATCTTTCCTTAATAAAAAGTTTTCCCTCGTGAGGAGTGGAACATATAGCGATTCCGGTATTCCCTATAATTGTTTAACTGTAATCCGGACTCGGTTCCGTAGATTTGTTGTTGTCTTATCCTCTTTTCTATCCCTTACTCTTTGTTTTAGAGTTTTGGGTTGTATTGGGCAAGTTGGAAATAAGTTGGTTGTGTTTTAAAACTTAGAATTTTGCCCAGGTTTTGGTCTCTCCGCTCGAGCGGCACTTTGACGCTCGAGCGTGCATTTATTGTTGCCTCTCTGCTCGAGCGGTAGTTTGGACGCTCGAGCGTGAATTTCCTTCTCTCTGCATTTTGGTTGTCTGCAGAAAATTCTGGGAGGGTGCATCCGGCGCTCGAGCGGATCTTTGGACGCTCGAGCGTGAACCTGTGTCTGACGCTCGAGCGGGGTGTTGTACGCTCAAGCGAACATGTTTTATATCAGTCTGTAAAATCACTTTTTGAATCACTTTTCACTTTTCTTTTCTCTCTCTTACTTTCTCAAAATCGATTTTTGAGAGCTCCTCACTCTAAAACCTAACTTCTCTCTATGGTTTGATCTAGTAGGAGTGTTTTCTTCACCTTGGGCCTTTGTAAGAAGTGTGTTGATCGTCGAGGGCTTCGTTTTGATCCAAGAAATTTAGGATTTGGAGCACTTCCGAGTTTTGCTCTTCTTCTCCTTGGGTTCTACATTTGAGGTAGAGATTTCCTTGTTCTTTTTCAATACTTTATCTATAGATAGACATGTAGTAGTTTTGTATTGCATGAAAATCATATCCATGTCGGATTTGTTTGAAATCATGAGAAGGAACCTAGGGTTGGTTATTTGAAAATGATTATTTTATCATTGATGGTTGTTTTGGGCTAATTGGAGTATAAATTAGCATGTTATAGTTGAAAGAAGAAAAAGCCCCAAGTTATATTTTGATTTGGTAAATTAAAATGGAGGGTAGTTAACCTATGTTGTAAATCTCTATTGTTAATGTGAGTTGGGTGAAGGTGTTAATGCCTAAGGGGTTAACTTGGGCTTTGGAATGGTTTTGAAATGAATGTAGTGGACTAATGTGAGTTATGGCTTTATTATCAACGGAATTGGTTTTGTAAAACAAAAGGGATGGAATTGGTTTTGTGGAAACAAAAGGGATGGAGTTGGTTTTGTGAAAACAAAAGGAAATGAAATTTGTTTTGTGAAATGAGAAAAGTATCTTTGATATAAGTATGAAAGTTGGATTGTTGTATCTTTAACTATCATGTTAGTGTTGCTGTTGGGTTGTGATCTCATGTTAATTGAGTCTTTTAATAGATGTACTAAATATTTGCATCTAGAGGTTTTGTCCTTGGTCATCGGTGGAGGATGACATGGTTGTGTTGAATTGTCGTGTATGCATTATACCATTGTTGATTAAACATTGTATGTGAGGAAGTGCTGAGATACATTATATATGTATACTTGCTCGGGGGAAATTAATTATGTGTTCATATACTTTAACACATTGCTTGTATCTTGATGGTTTATGTATATGTGTTATACATGTTAGTTATGCCCGGTTGTGTTTTGGTTGGTGGTGTTATACGTTGCGCTAAAAATCAGAGGTACCGTGACCTTCCAGCTAGCGCCTGGAGAACTGACTGCACTGAGAATCTAAGGTACCACACCCTTCCAGCTAGCGCCTGGTAAACTGGTATGTTGTTGTGAGAGGTGTATCTTTGGCTTACTACGCACATAGCTGGTAGAGCAAAGTTTTGTTGTTATTGTTCCATTGCATCTGAGGATATCATGAATTTGGTTGGTTACAGTTTCGGAGGGCCAAGTTACCTCATTGGTTGATTATATACATGTTAGTGAGTTGTTATCTCCCTTTTTATAAAGGTATGTCTGTATAGTTATGATTGTATTGAGAACAAACCAAAATGTCAATTTGTCATTTGGAAAATGGAAGAAAGTAATGGGCTTAGTGAAATTATTTTTTAAGTAATTGTTAATGTTATGAAAGATTGGGAATGGAGATTAATAAAAGGAAAAAGGAAAGATGAATCGCCTATGGCGTTGATTGAAATGGTTGTTTTTGAGAAAAGTTCATACTTATGTATATTTTGTGTAAGCTGTCACATTACTATCCTAATATGAGATTGAGCATTCATGAACATACCTATCTGTAAGTTGTTATTGTTGAGGGCCATGTTGAGATCCCTACTGGACTATATGTTCATCCCACGTTGTTAAATCTTTTTCAGGTGTTGAGCTGAATGTGCTGCAAGATTTGGATCTTCTTAATTGTTGTCCACGGGGCCTCTCTTGTATTAGCGGAATGCCATATGTGTAAAAGGGTTGCACCCTTCTTCTTGATTCGTTAATGATGTAAGCCCAAGGGCAATTCATTTATTATACTCATGTTGTATTTACTTGCATACGAATGAGAGTAATGTTATTCACTTCTACGAGTTGAATATACGAGTTTATTTCCGCATGTTATCTCTGAAATGGAATTAAGTAAATGAAATTGGTAATACTTCGAGTAATAAAAAGTGGGGCGTGACAGAACATGTGTAACTGAACTTTTTCTTTGTGCTTCACTTGTCTTGTGCAATTTCCGATAATTAGAACATTTATTTTCAGCTTTGTGCCGTAGTTGTCCTAATGCTGGTCATTTGTGCAAACCCTGAGAATTATTATCTTTGATAGCATTGGTGTTTTAGTTGCTTGATGTTTATGGAAGTTTATTTGATCCCTAATATTATTCTTACGTGAATGAGGCTAAATCTTTGCCCTCTATGCTATGGATATTCAGCCAAATCTTGTTATTTTCAGTATTTTGTACTAGTGTTTTTTCAACGTCCTTGTCCTAGTGTTTATTCTTATGGGTGCAATTCCTTCTAATAATGTATGCCAATTCAATTTCTTATAGGTCTGTTGATACAAATGTTATTTTACTAGGAAGTCATCTTGCAACCACTTGGAGACAAAGGAATTGCAATAATTGGTGGTGACACAATTAGGGGCTTTACGACTTCTGACCAGATGCCATCTTCTTAGCTTTAAATTTTTAGCACTCTGATTGTCTAGAATCCTTGGAAGCCCGGGTGTTGTTATGGTTGCTAGTACAGTTATGCTGATACAGCAAAACTTTTATAATAATTAAAAAAAATAGTAGAATACAGGTACAGTCCCTTACTTCCATAAATATATATATTTTTTATTTGTAGTAGTACATGACATATAACAATTGCAAAAAATAATAAAAGTATTTTTGTAATGGTAAAAAACGAACCTAAGTATTTTTTTATATTTTTAATAACAAAATACCCTAAATTTTAAAGTTTTTAAATTAGTAGACACAATATAATTTTTCTACTTCCCCTATATTTAAAAAAAAAAATTGTATTTATGCCCCGAACTATCCAGAATGTACTCATCCCATATCCATGCCGTATCCAATCCATACCCAAAGTATTTTACATTCCGGATATGTATTTTGCATACCTGTACAATAATTTTTTCGAAGTACCCATGCTTTATAGGTAGCATCATTGTGCATCCTCATTCTCGGATTTTCAATCCTTAATGTTTTTGTTTATGATACGTGCAGTAAATTAGCATTAAATGTTTCACAGCACAATTATGTCTTGTTTCTATTTTTTGGGACCCAAATTTCCCAAGTGGATTCATCTTCTATGAACTTATGCACTTTTTGTCTTTAATACCCTTGTAAATAATTTCCTCTAGGATTTATATCTTCGGTCTAGGCTTACAAACTTTGGCCGAAGTCAGACTATCAAATTCATACTCAATTCAGATTTTCCTTTTGGTCATTGTTAAAAATAAACATCTTAGTGATCCTCACCTATGAAATTCCTTTTGGTTATGTTTATAGTGCACCAACTGTATGTCAGAAAATTCTTCTCTTTTTTTTAACCCTTTCCAGAGCATTGCTTGATCCTCATGTCTGATGTTTCTTGATGTTTTTGGTCTATCTACGGAAAGCACATTTGACAGCAAGTTGCCAACAAGACTTTAGTTAAAAGAAAGATATTCTTATGCTTGCATGATACCCCTCCACCTCAATCGTTCTTTTCTTTTAGTAACCATTCTATATGGCGTAAAATCTATTCCATTGATGCTTTTCCTTGTTCCTTAATAATGACTTCTTTTTTTTTGGGTGTCACTGCAAGATTTTTATGATGTAGCCTGCCAAAGATAACATGACAAGTGCATGATACCTCCCTTCAACCTTTCATTTCTTTTTAGTAACTCTCCTAAATATGTGGTGCCAAATTTATTTCCATTGATGCTTTTCCTTGTGCCTTGATAATGATTCATGAGTTTTTTCTTTCTTTGGTGCCCCACTTCTTTTCAAATGAATTCAGTTGGCTGGGTAGGAAAGAAACTGACTTGGAACACTATATTAACAGTTGGTTGCTTATATAGGGAAAGGGAAAAAAAATTCATATTAACTTTGTCAATCCCGCTTTGACTATTTGTGCTAATCTGCCTCATATGTTGGAACACACATGACACTTTGAAAATCACTGGTTAGGGACACAGGTATATCTAGGAACGGATTCAGAATTATAACTTTGGGAGGGCTGTTCTATAGTTTAAACAATTAGGGGGTTACTCTATGTAATTTTGAAATTGTCTAAAAAAAATTTAAGTTATAATTTTAAATTATTTTAAAATTTCTAATATAATATATGATATTCTTCAAATTTTTGAGGGTGCGGCCGCCTCCCTAGATCCATCATTGGGTATATCAAAATATACACATGCCATTATTAATTGAAAGAACATACAAAGTAACAAATACTTATACCATAACCTGTCTATAAGCAAATATCAGACCTCAGGATATTTGCCCTAAAGGAATATTAATATTTTCAGTGATAACCCGAGTTTTGCTCCATCATCAAGGCATGAGATTTCAAGTATGTTTTCTCAAACTTAGGCCTCGTTTGGGAACAGTCTTTTTTAGTAATTTTTTGACTTTTTGGTTAAAATGTGATGTAAAAAAAACTAGTATGTTTGAGATGATTTTTTTGCTTTTTATGAAAAGATGTGCAAAAAATAGAAAGAAAAAAGAATCTTTGACTTTTTGGTATAGGTTGTTGGCTTTTTGATTTTTTTAGTAATTTTTTGACTTTTTAACTAAAAAGGACACTTGCCAAACGAAGCTTTACTTTCTGAATTTAGAATTCTGGAAATTATACACCTGTGATGTGCAGTAAATCACACCTTGAGGAATGATAGCTATATTTTGCCATATCTCATTCATACATTAGGGGTCAATTGTTTCAATCCCCGCCAGCAATTGCAGCAGTTAAAAGCATAAGATTTTGATTTCATTCCCTTTTCTTTTCGACAGAGGCTCCACTAAACATTATCCTTTTTCCTTTCAACAGGGCATATGAATGTCATACCTGATTTGGTCTTCAATTTTCGTTGTGTGATTTTTTTATTTTTTATTTTTTTAAACTTGAAGTTAGGCCTTTCTTTTTGAATAATTCTATACATACTAACAATCTTACTAAAAAGTTTACTAAAAATACAAGAGTCCAAAAGTGATTGGTTGTCAAAAAAATAATGATATTTAAACATCCAATGATGTTTGGACATTTATATTTTTAGTAAGATTGTTAGTAAGAATTTAAGCAGATGTAACATTACTTTAATATATTCACAACCTTACACGTGATTGATGTAGATTTTTCATTACTGGTGTGGTGTTATATTTTGTTATTTTAGAAGTTATACGTATGTTGTGCTTGGTTGAGGAATTTGAGGAAGGATTTGAAAAGGAAAATGAAAAAGGTAGGTGAAATGTGAAAAAAAATATACTTATATTTCACATAGTTTCACACACTTTTTCCCTTCTCCTTTCCTTTTCCAAATCTCTCCCTAAATCTCCGAACCAAACACAGCATTAGGAATATACCCTTGGAAATAATGCAAGTTGATTTCAATCTTTTTATCTCACAGATGAAAACTGATTTTGCTTCTCAAAATTTAATAAAAATGCGACATATCGGATTTTGTAGTTCTTTCCATTTATACCACGATGAAATTTCAGTTCGCTCAGAAATTCTCTTCTTCAGTTCAAACTTCCCCTTTAAATTCTTCACTAGGATTCAAGTTCGTCATACCTACAACCCATAAAATGCTAGCAATTGAACACAACACAGAAAGGAAATGAGTCAACAAATCTATTGATAAACATAAAGAACAAACAAAATATGTCACATTTCTGTGAAAAATTACAAGCTTTGAAAGAACTCTGTAACTCATCCGTGAATTCTTCTAGTCATATTTCTACAAAAGTAAAAAAAAAATCAGATACAAAATAGTGAAAACAATGAAAAGAAAGAATGATTGTTGTGTGACTAATTTTGTTTACATGCACAGGCAAGCTTCAAGTATGTCATCCCCCTAACATCATCATCTGTTACAGTAAAGTCCTCTCCCATGGAAGCAACCCGGAAGCAGGATCACCAAGGTTAGCCAAAACAAAGTCCCTCAAACCTGTGTCCCAAACTTCACAGAACTGTAAATGCCAATTGGGCGGTTCAATGGCTTCTGTTCCCAACCCGGGTGCCCTATCTCTTGATCCTTCGTTTTGGTTCTCTTGCCAGTCGGCAACATAGGTAGCAACTCTTCTGAAGAACTTTGCTCTAAAAGACTCCCATACTTGATATTTGTAGTGATTAATCACAGCTGTGCTCTGGGGCAAATTCAGGTATTTGAATCCCTTCCTCAGATGAAAGTGATGCACTACATTGAGAAGGGAAATGTCGAGCGCATCAGGGCGCACGATTGATTTGTGTCGCTCGGGGCTCTGAAGCCGGCAAGTGTATCCAACCATAACTCCCTGTGGAGGGGGTGACCTCAATCCAGACGGCCCAAAGCTATGGCAGGCTGTTCTGATTTCTGCAATTGGTGATGGTGATAGTGATGGTGATGATGATGATGAAAAATTCATAACCAGGTTTCGAAGGGAGTTTTGACCAGGAAAATGCAATTTCCTGGATCTTTGGTTACGGGTTGGAACCGGGAAGTAGAAAAACTCATCAACATCCATGAATCCAACCCAGTTACATTCATCTCTAGCTCTCAGAACGCAGTGTGAGAAGCCCGCTTCTTGAGTCTTAATCCACGGCCAGACATGCCTAGTGACATTGTATTCCTCTAGTTCAAGCTCATCAATCACATCCTTAATTCCATCATCACTATTGTTGTCATAAATGAACCACCTCTCGATTCCAAGCCAAGAGTGGTACATTATCCACTCGCGAAGAGCAGAAGCTTGGTTCCACACCATTGTACAAGCACAAAGCTCGTATTTCCCATTTCTCTTCTTCTTCCTCCTCCCCTTCTCTTCCTCAGACTTAAAATTGACTATCTTAGCCACGGATGGCACAAGCACACGATCACGGCCCCTGGCGTGGACATGAGGGGTCACACCAACAGTGACTCGAATCCCCTGAGCCTTGCTACGATTCAACCTCATGCTCCGAGGCAACAAACACCTCACAACTTCTTGAGAAGCCCTAATTGCTTTAGTTATAAGCATAAACCTTCCCTCTCTCTCCCAATTCCCCAAACCAAAATGGCAGGTGAATTGGGACGGGTCCGATTCCCTATCAGGCCGGAGATTCAATCCCTTCACAAACACCACCACCGTGTTTCGATCCAAAGTAGCCGCGTACACCACGGTCTCCCAACTATGAACCGCCCGGTTATCAGTCAAATCCATTCCTTTTCCTCCTCCAGTCCCCAAACTCACCACCACGGAACAATTCACAGGCGGGAGTGGACACCTCACAATCGATTGAAACTCGCTGTAGTCATCAACAGACAAGGAATTTATCATAAAGCTCCTAATCTGAGTATAATTATTCAACTTTGTTTCATAGTAAACGCATTTGAATTCGTATCTATTTTTCTTATTCATCATCATCATACTATTCGACACCATCAACAAAACATGATCAGGAAACAGAACTCGATCCACTATCTTCACCAACGACGACGACGACGAAGAAGAAGAAGACGATAGAATACTGTTAGGATAAACTCGAGTCGATTTGCTTGAAGACATGGAGAGTAAAGGAAAGCTTGAAGCGACGAGAACGGGACGGAACGAAGAGGGAGTCATCGGAATTCGAATGGATAACAAGTAGAGAAAAGCAACGAATGCGAAGCACAGGATTAGAGATCTTACTGAGAAGTAGTTGTGTAGAGGTCTAGCGATGCGTTTTCGCTTGCGTCGTTGCTCTGAATCCATGGTTTTGGTGTTTGGTTTAGAAGCTCGAATTTGGATTTAGCTTCAGATCTGGTATTTGTGCCGACAGCAAAAAAAGGGAAAAAAATGAAGAAAAAAAGAGTCTTCTTTTTGGGGCTTCTTCTGGACTCTGGTTATCCGGTTACTGTCAGAGAGAGAGAGAGAGAGAGAGTGAGGATTTAGAGAGACAAAATGTAGAGAGAGAGAGAGAGAACGCGTTTGAGTGCTGCATTGGGCTGGTTTTTTTAGTTAGGACTTGGGAGTAACGTTTGGGATTGCTGTACTTTGGAAAATATTTAAAGGTTTGTTTGGAATGTTCTAAATAAGTATAAATTTTTATTTTTTTATAAAAAGATATATAGAAAAACAGAGAGTTGATATGATAAAAAAAAGATAAAAAGATGAATTATTTTGAACTTTCCAAACTTGGCCTCACTTTGTTTGTTCTTAATTTTTAGAAAACAGTTTTTAAAAAAATTTATTTTTTTATTTTTCATTTTTTAATATTTTTAATGAATTTTTTTAATATTTTAAGTAATTTTTTTTAATTTTTAGACATACCTAACTTAAATATATTTAAAAAGTATAATATTGTGAATTTTTTTTTAAAAAAAATATACTAAATACCAACAAATACAAAAAAAAATATAAAAATTCAGTATATTTTTGTACATTTGTTAATTTTTTAAAATATTTTTTTTAACATTATGAGAGAGAGAGAGAGAGACAACGCGTTGAGTGCTGGATTGGGCTGGTTTTTTTAGTTAAGACTTAACGTTTGGGATGAGTGTACTTTTGGGAATATTTACTTTGTTTGTTCTTAATTTTTAGAAAACAGCTTTTAAAAAATTTTATTTTTCTAAATTTTTTTTAATGCTTTAAGTAATTTTTTAAAAAATTTTAGACACACATAATATAAATACATTTAAAAATTTTAATATTTGTAAAAAAATCTTTAAAAAACACTAAATACCAATAAATATAAAAAAATATAAAAATACAATATATTTTTTTATATTTTTGTATGTTTATTAATTTTTTAAAATATTTTTTTCACAAATATTTTACTAATTAGATACATCTAAGTAAGATGCATTTAAAAAAAGTAAAAAAATTGGTTAAAATTTTAAAAATATTTATTAAAAACAAAAAAAATACGAAAAATAAAAAACTCAATTTTAAAAAAATTAAATTCAGAAAATTGAAACCAAACACACTGATTATTATTTTGGTAAATTACAATCACCTCTACTAGATTTGAGAAAAATATAATCAGTCTACATTTTTGACATAATCACACTAACTCTTATTTAGTTGATTAAGACTGATATAAATAAGGTTGTTTTGGAAAGATGGTTAAAAATTGATTTTTTAATTTTTTTCGATTTTTTTTAAAAAAAAAATATGTAAAAAATATGAGAGATAATATGACCTAAAATGAATTAAAAACTGAAAGATAATTTTTAACTATCTTCTCAAAATAAGCCATAGTACATAGACACTAAAATAAATAAAAATAATTATAGATTTTTTGTATAAAAAAAGATAATAATATTTTTTTATTCATAACGAACAAATTACTAATAAAAAAAATAAATTTTTAGGTGATCTTAAGTTTCACGTGACAATACTCTCATTCTGTTCTTTGGCGTATCACCTAATATCAAATTGTGATGTTAATTAGTGTTATGATATTATTATTGATCATATTTATTATACAAATTATAAATATAAAAAATTATAAAAATAATATCATATCATCTATTAGTACGTTAATATGTATATTAATTAATTAATTGTATTTTTTAAAAATTTTAAGAGAGGTGGGTATAATTTTTATTATTTTGGTATGGGTCATGCTTCGGAGCTCTAATTAGAGCTGCAAAAGGACAGCTCTAATGAGTTGTCAACCAATAAAAAAAAATAGTAAGTAAAAGATAAAAAAAAGAGAAGAAAAAGACAAATTAGTACTCTATTAGAGTTCTTTTTTTAGAGGTCTAAATCATTTTTGTTTTGGTATACGGTGATGAAAGGCGCGTGAAGAGTGCCGGCCACAGAGTGTATAAAGGAGGAAAAGCGAACGGTTTTATACGTCGATCCATGTGGGAAACCTTTTGTTAGGTGACAGGTGTTGTGTAGCTATAGTATGGTGGAAATTTTGGCAGGCCTAATTTCAAAATGAGTAATGATTCATCCCCTTTCCCTCACCCCTTTGATCCCTTTTCTCTCTCATTGGTTAACTTTTTTCTTCTTTTTTTTTTTCCTCCTCCTCCAATCACTCCTGTCACGTGGCAAAGGGGGTGAGGGGGTGACCCCCAAAAGGGGTGACCCCCAAAAGGGGTCCCAAACATTATTCTTTCAAAATTAAAGGCTCGAGTTCCTATTTCTCTGATTTTCTTGAAAGTGTGTTTGGACAAAGGATTGTTTTGAGAGATTAATTAAAAGTTAATTTTTTAATTTTTTTAAAAAAATATCAAAAATAATAGAAAAATGATGTAATTTAATTTAATTTTTAATCAAGTTCGCAGATTAGGCCAAAGTAACCGTTAATGTTAGAATTAGCTTCATTTCTTACAATATTTTGACTATTTTATTGTCAAAACAAGCCTTTATTTGTCTAAATGTTTAAAAAGATAGCTTCCGTTTGGAAAGTGGGTTGGCTTTTGACTTTTTGATTTTTTTGACTATATGAGCCTGGGCTCAAAAGCTTAGTTTGGGAAGGACTTTTGGCTTTTTGACTTTTGTGATTTTTTTGTGAGAGAAGAGCGTAATGATTATGGGATTAGATGGGATGTTTTGTCTGTTGTGGCTCATGAGCCTATTCTGTCTTTTATGGCTCATTGAGCCAAAAAAGCCCAATGAGCCCTTGCCAAACCAACCCATAGTGTGTTTGGTTTTAGTTTTTTAAATTCAAATTTTTAAAATTTGTGTTTTTTATTTTAAATATTTTTTTTTTATTTTTAGTGAATAGTTTTAAAATTTTAAGCAATTTATTTACTTTTTTATATCCATCTTACTTATATGTATCTAAATAATAAAATATTTGTGAAAAAATATTTTTAAAATTAATAAATACACAAAAATAAGAAAAATATACTGAATTTTTATTTTATTTTTTTTATATTTTTGGTGTTTAGTGAATTTTTTAAAGATTTTCTCATAAATGTTATACTTTTTAAGTGTATTTATGTTAAGTGTATCTAAAAATTTAAAAAAATTATTTAAAATATTAAAAGAATTCAATAAAAACAAAAATGTGGATTTTTTTGAAAAATGAGTCTGGCTAGTCACTTTAGCCTGTCTAAATTAAATACGTAATACTATAAATTTAAATTTAATTATTTAAAAATTATTTTAAATTATCATTTTATAATTTAGATTTATTCTATATATATATTTTAAGTGTATTTATGTTAAGTGTGTCTAAAAAATTAAAAAAATGCTTAAAATATTAAAAAATTCAATGAAAACAAAAAAGTAGAATTTTTTGAAAAATAAAATTTAAAAATTAAAAACAAAAAACCTAATAAATTTTTAGTTTTTTTATTTATTTAAAATATATGCCTTGAGGTTCTATTGTATATCTACGTGACATTGATATACAAATGATATTTATACATAATTTTTATATAAATTTAAAATAAAATTATATGTTACATTTTTTTTTGAAACAACTTGATAGAAATTTTCAAAAAAAAAAAAAATTATGTGTTTCATTGATAATGATATTTTTTGCAATTTTGAATCAACTTGATAGACATTTTGACTTTCAATAAATTAATAAAACATATCATTTTGTATAATTGGATAAATTATACTTAACACTTTTGTATTTTCATTAAAATTTTATTTTAATCATTTTATTTTTAATTGTGACAATCAACATAGGTTTTAAGTTACGTTATCATGTTTCAATTCATTTGATGTGTAATAAAATTGACGAAACTTATTATATAAGTCCTACACAACATTTTTTTCATCTCATACCGACATAATTTTGTACAAAAATTTTATATATAAATTCTCTTAAAGGTTGTTTGGGAAGTTGTTACATAAATAGTTTATTAGCTTATTTACTAAAAGTTATTACATCACTTTTATTTATTTTTTTTGTATATATTTTCATAAAAAAGATTAAAAAAATTAAAAATAAAAATTACTATATATGCAAATTCCAAACGACGTTTTAGTATAACATGGTCCTTTTAAATTTAGTGTTGCAACAATGCTAGAGACCCCCAAAAAATACAACATCACTTACTTGTGATTGGTCTAGGGAAAAAAAAAAACAAAACAAAACAAAAAAAACAAAAAAAACAAAAATAAAAACACATGATTAATCTATATAATTTTAAGAGCAGAGATGATCCAGACCCCCACCACCCCGACATACACGTGGGGGAGAACAAGAGGACCAATCAACATTCACTGGGAATGATGAGGGTTGCCCCCTGTGGAGGTCTCCCTCTTTTCTCTTTTAAGAGTTACGAGAGTCCCTGACTCGAAGGATCCCAAACATTTTTGTTAGTGGTGGGAATGTGTTTCTCATGCATTACAATTAGGCAGAAGAAGGTAAACACTCTCCTCCAAACTTTTTATTTTTTTTTATTTTTGTGACTTTCAATTTTAATTATTTAATTAGTGAAGTTGGAATTTTGTTGGTGGATCTTGTAATCTCATATTCTCAATTTCTTTTTAATTATTATTTTGACTGTGTTTACCTTATCTCGTCATTATGAAGAAGTGGTTCTTTTAGGTATGATGGTATTTTTTGGGCAAACAGTATGATTGCATTTTTATTCATAGGAAAGTCCCACTATTGGCACAAAAATTAAGCAATAGTCTGGCTAGTCACTTTAGCCTGTCTAAATTAAGGAAAAAGGTTGAGATTTATTTATTTATTTATTTTTTTGGTGGAATCCCATCACCTTTAATGTATTGTGATTAGTTTATTATTATTATTTTTTCATTCTATTGCTGGCTAACATAAGTGTTTGTAGGGATTATGGAAGTCAAAACAATAAGGATATCATTTCTACTAAATTAAATATGTAATACTATAAATTTAAATTTAATTATTTAAAAATTATTTTAAATTATCATTTTATTATTTAGATGTATTCTATACATAAATCTTATATTACACAAATATAAACTCTACTAAACAATCACCTATTCAAAAAATTCTGAATGAGATATGTTTAGATTTCCAAACTTTTCCAAATTAAATAGATATAATGTTCATTTTTC